AGAGACTGGCCAGACCAAATCACATCCAAACTGGACGTGCTTTTTGAAACAGTTCTTAGTTTTCCAGCCAGTATAACACAGGAAGGCAATGTAGTAGGTGGTTGAAATGGATGTTGAGTGTCAGTTCTCCATAACCAGGATACATAACCTTGTTTACAAGTAATCGTCGTATCTTAGTAATTAATCTGCCTCCTACAGAAGGGAAAAATCAATAAAGGCCATGTTACAAGGCTCTCAGATGCTTTTTAGAAAATGTTTCTGAGGGCCTTCTGTAACTTACATCATTAGTATTTTCATCTATAAGATAATATACCATTCTTGAACAGTGGCAGGTTGTTTTTTGGGGTTTTTTTTTTTTCCTAGCCTTAAATTCCTAAGGGCTTTGAACACTAAGGGCTTTGAACACAGACTCTCCAACAGAGATAATGAAATGTCTTATGGACAATGTTTTGACCACAGTTCTGTATCAAATGTAAAACCTTCTTTATGTGATTGTATCTTTATTCAGAAACATTTGCCTTGCTTTTGTTGTCAAGTGAAGTCTGACTCCTGAAAGGACAGGAGATGCCAGTGCCTTTCTAGCTGTTACTTTGATGGTGCTCAGAACCTGTTTTTCAGAACTAATCTGCCTTGACTGATTCTGCTTTGGTTCCTCCAGACACAAGCAGGTAGCCTGATGGGACTGGCTTTCCTTCCCTTTTCACCTACTGTTGTGGCCGGGTTGATGACAGTGGGCATGCTCAGACCCGCCCAAAGTTTCTTCTGTTTATAGCACAGTATCTCTGCCACCAGGAAGCCATGGATGAAGACTCACAAGGTCAAATCATCAGCTGAGGCCCACACTCATTCCCTCACTGCACACTCACTGACACCTACCTCCATCAAGTCATTCAAAAGGTTATCGAACTTGGACGTCCCTGATGGCCCGTTAAGAATCCTCTTGTCAATGCGGGGCACATGGGTTCAATCCGTGGTCTGTGAAGATTCCACATGCTTTGGGGCAACTAAGCCCACGTGTCACAACTGCTGAGCCTGCAAACTCCCTAAAGCCCTTGCTCAGGGCAACAAGAAAAACCACTGCAATGAGAAGCCTGAGCACTGCAACTAGAGTAAGCAGTTCCTTCTCAACAAAACTAGAGAAAGCTGGCATGCAGGAATGAAGACCTAGTGCAGCCAAAAATAAGTAAATGACATTAACAACAATTTTTTAAAAAAGGTTTACCAAATCAAATGGGTCCTCTTGCCTGAGCAGTAAAGCTGATGTACTGACATCGGGTTGCGGTGAGGGAAAGCGCAGCACTTATTGCAGGTACCATCAACGAGTCCCGAATGGCTAGTGCTCAAAAAGCTCAACCTCCCCAGTGGACTTCAGCAGAGCATTTTGAAAGGCAAGGTGAGGGAGGGGCATCCCAGGGTCTGCGATCAGCTTGTGCACAATTCTCTGATTGGCTGATGGTGAGGAACAGGGCTGTGTCACTGGTGTTAACATTATCAATCCTTAGGCACCAGGAGGCCTGGGGGCAGCATGCTCATCAAGTAGTTAATTCCTTCCATTTCGTGGGGTGGTTTCCACATCTATAAAACAACTCAGGAAATGTGCATCAGATACTATCATTAGGTAATNAGTTAATTCCTTCCATTTCGTGGGGTGGTTTCCACATCTATAAAACAACTCAGGAAATGTGCATCAGATACTATCATTAGGTAATTTTTTTTTTTTGTAATAAAAATCATCTTTATTTATCAAAATAATATTTATTACCAAGACATGAAAAATGAAACTGACAAAGTAAGTTACACATTCCTATCAATCTTTTGCAAATTTCATGTATTTGTTCAGTATAAAGGCCTTACTTAGAAATTCCATTTGAGCTTTTCTAATCAAATGTTCATATAAATTGGTTGTGATTGTTATCCAGCCCTTTTGGGAAAATAGGTGATGTTTAAAAAAATAGAACCAAGAAAGATGTATCATAGTATAAATGTAAAGTATAAATCAAAATTCTCAACTTATATAGATGGTTAAAGAGTTATTTATGGAATTTTTCAGTATGAAAATTCAGCCAAGTATACAGTTAGTAAGTTGCATTCTTCTGAATTGCTTTAATAGGATAAAAATTATGGGAATTAAAGCTAAGTTCCTACAATACTTCTTTAATAGCAACCCTATACCCCACCCCACATAAATTCTTATTAAATTTTCACTTGGGTTTGTTACATATGCTAGTCTGTCAATGAAAATGAGTTATTGGGGCAGATAAATATATGGACTTACAATATTTGCTTACTAGCTTAAATAACTGCCTATAACTGTATTCTGCTAAGCTTTGAAAATTCTAGTCATTTTCCTCTCTGTTTGCCTAAAGTCTTTTTCATACATTCAGTTTTACAGATAACAGTCAGGCACGTACAGAGAAGAACACTCGCAATGGTGATCTATTTTATGGTGTTTCGTTCATTCAGCCAGCATTTTTGAACAACCACATGTAGAACCTTTGGTACAAAAGTGGCACAGTGTTACCTGACCTGATTATCATTAGGTAATATTATCTAGGTACTTCAGAGAGGATTGAAAGCAGATGATACAGAGGAGGGGTCTGTCCCAGGAAGGCCCCATGGGGTCTCGCTGGGTTAAAAAAAAATCTGCTTTCTCACAAACTCTTCTAGTATATCAGGAAAAATGAGATAGTCTAGCCCCTGACTCAGTCACATTAGTGACATAGTGGATTACTGACTTCATAGAAGTCTTATCAGTAAAAGTAATATTTTTAAAGGAATATTTTATTCAGGAAGAATGGATGTTAAGTACAGAAATATAATTATACCTCTATAGATGAGTTCATTTGTGTCAGGACACTTTATTTTTTTTTTTTCAGAGGTGAAAACCCCCCTTTATTGTTCTTTCTGCACGCAAAATGCTGGTGGTCAGTTGCCTACATGCTAGCACATCTGAGAGAGCCCAGTTCTGGGTGGGAGGCTTCATCAGAAGGTCTCGTCATCTTTGCAGTTGGTAGCCCAGTGCCCAAACATCTCGCAGATTTCACAGTATGGGCGTTCCTCGCTCCGACTGCCGTGGTGTGCAGAGTGGGGAGGGTCCTCAGACATCTGGGACTGGGTGGGACAATCCTCTGTGTCATGCAGATCAAAGCAGTCACATACGTCACAGAAGAGGCGGGGTTTCTTCTTGGACTGTTTTTCCTGGTCATCGCTGTCGTAATTGTTCAGGTCATCCCCGGCCCCGTTCAAGGCTGCTTCTGACATCATCTCCACCTTCATCGTGAGGTATGTCAGGACACTTTAAAAACTACAGAGTGCTATACAATGAAAGTATTCATAGTACCTACGTTGTTAGCCACACATTTGACTAGGTGTTGAGGTGAACGAGGCCAGTGATGCATTCAGGGAGTTCACTGGGGTGATGGATGGTTGAGTAGAAGAGACAAATAAATGATACAGCATGATGAAAGTCACTGTACAGAGATGCACAAGGCACTCAGGAGCAGGAACACAGATGAAGGATACCTAACCCGGTTTAGGAGCCAGGGAGCTTCTTTGGAGAAGATACCTAAAGGACAGATAGGAGTTATCCAAACAAAGGAGAGGTGAGTCATTCTAGGAAGAGGGAGTGACTCATACACACAAAGGCCCAGAAAGAAGCAAGAGTTAGGGGCAATCAAGTATTGCCAGCTGTCAATATGGCTAGGTTGCAGAACTAAAGGGAAGCAGTGAGAGAGATGGGCGTGAAGAGAAAAACAGGGGCCCTGAAAGGCTAGAGAAGTCACATATTATGGACTGAATATTTGTACCCCCAAAATTCATATATTGAAGCCCTAACACCCAATGTGATGGAATTTGGAGTTTGGAAGGTAATTAGGTTCAGTTGAGTTCATGAGGGTGGGGCCCCCATGATGGAATTAGGGTCTTTATAAAAAGAAGAAGAGAGACCAGAGCTCGCTCGCTCTCTGCCACATGAGGACATGGTAAGCTGACTGTCTGCAAGTCAGGAAAAGGACCCCCCCACCAGGGAGTCTAATGGGCAGGCACCTTGATCTCAGACTTCCCAGCTTCCAGACGGATGAGAAATAACTCTTGTTGTTGAAGCCACCAGGTCTGTGGTATTTTGTTATGGTAGGCTGAGCTAAGACACCACATAAGAAGTCTGGAGTATTTTGAGGGTAGTGTGGAACCACTAAAGTGTTTTAAGTAGGAATGACAGACTGCAGGGCAGAGAATGAATTAGTAGAGTGGACTCTGGTCATAGGAAGATGAAACTGTTGTAACCCAAGCAACAGTACTGAAAGTGGTAATTAAGTGAACAGAATAGTAATAAAATCAATAAAAGTTTCCATTTGGAAGGGGTAGTGAGATCCTGCTTTCCATGCTTTTGGGTATAAACCCAGAAGTGGAATTTCGGGATCAATTGCTAAATCATTCTACTTATCTATTTTTGAGGGACTTCCATACTGCTTTCCATGGCAGCTGTACCATTCTACATTCCCACCAACAGTACATAGTGTTCCAATTTGTCCCTTCCTCACCAACACTTATTTTCCATTTTTAAAAATAATACCCATCCTAATGAGTGTGAAGTGGTATCTCATTGTGGTTTTGATTTGAATTTCCCTGTAATTAGTGATATTGAGCATCTTTTCATGTGCTTATTTGCTATCTGTATATCTTCTTTGGAGAAATGTCAATTCAAGTCTTTTACTCACCTTTGAACTGGATTTTTGTGGTTTTTGATTTTTAGTTCTCTACATATTCCAGACATTAACCTTTCATGAGATATGTGATTTGCAAATATCTTCTACCGTTCTGTAGGTTGTCTTCTTACTTTGTGATTTTATCCTTTGATGGACAAAAGATTTTAATTTTCATGAGCTCCAATTGTCTATGTTTTATTTCCTGCACCTTTGGTATCATATTTAAGAAATTATTGACAAATGTAATGATATGAAGCTTTTATCTTGTGTTTCCTTCTAAGAGTTCTTTTTTTTCTTACATCCAGAACAAAAAACTTTATTAACGGGTTTCAACAAGAAAATGAGTGGATACACATAGAAACATGGACAGCGTCTCCACCAGGAGCAGGCAGGGTAGGAAAAGAAGGTGGGGGTGAGGAGGGTAGTCCCAGGGGATTTCCCCTCTGGGCTCCAGCAGCTGTGGGATCTCAGGGTCAGGGCCAGGTTCCCTCCGTCCAGCTGCAGGCCCAGAGACTGCATCGCCCAGGGAAGCCCAGCACCGCAGCTGATGGTAGGAGCCTGAACAGCCACGGGTGAGGCCTAGGGCAAGGTGGATAGAGAGGTCCAGGATGTGTCCCTTCTAGGCTGATATCACCAGGGGGGCGTCATGGGCTGAGGGTTCTGCAGATATGACGTCACCACAGCAGAGATGGACAGCATGAAGCTCCTCATCATCTGCTTCGTGTCCTCAGAGCTCTGGGAGTTGGCAGAGCTGATGAAGGAGCAGTAGACAGCGACCCAAGCGCACCACTTCAGCTTAAGCATGAGGCGGCACATGCTGAAGATCATGCCCAGCAGGTTCATGTAGTCTGGTGTGGGATCATCCAGCACTGGGTTATACTGGCTCGGTGGGGGCTTGTACCTCAGCACTTTGTTGGGCCTCCGTGGGTCCGACATATTGTTCGTGGACACAGCGAGTCAGAAGTCCTTCTAAGAGTTTTATAGTTTGTTGTTTTGTTTGTTTTTGGCTGCACAGCATGCAGAACTTCCCCAATCAGTGATTGAACCCAAGCCCCCTTGTATTGGAGGAACATAGTCGTAACCACTGGACCACCAGAGATGGTCATACAGTTCTAGATCTTATGTTTAGGTCTTTGATCTATTTTGAGTTAATCTGTGTATATGATGTTAGGTAAGGATCCAAGCTCTCTCTAAATACATTTTTAAGAGATTAAAAAAAAAATTCCTAAAGTAGAGCTTTGCCTTTGAGACCTAAAAACAATGAATAATCTATTTTTGCAGGGGGTGGGGCACAGATCTCTTGAGTATTCAAGTATACATCTCAATTCATGTAAATGAAATGAGTATGAATCTTGTAATTAAAAAATAAGTTAGAATTCCAGTCTGGGACTTTTTAGCTATGTGACATGGTTCAAATTCTTGGTATTCTTAAGCCTCAGTTTATTTACCTATGCTAAGTCTGCCAGGCTCCTCTGTTCATGGGATTCTCCAGGCAAAAATACTGGCGTGGGTTGCCATTCCCTTCTCCAGGGGATCTTCCTGACCCAGGGATGGAATCTGCATCTCTTATATCTCCTGTGTTTGCAGGTAGACTCTTTACCACTAGCACCCCTGGGAAGCCCCTTTATTTACCTATAAAATACGAGTAATGATTTGACAGCAAAAATCTGCAGTTTTGTCAAATAAAAATGGTAAACTTTGTAGGAAACAAACTGGATTCCCCATGCACTGCTGGCAGAAATGTAAGATAGTAGGGCCACTTTGGAAAATTTGAATTTTTAAAAATATTAAATACATATTTACCATTTGATCCAGTCACCAGAGAAATGAAATTTTATGTCCACACAAAGATTTGTACATGAATTTCCATAACAACCTTATTCATAATAGCCTCAAACTGGAAATATGTAATCCAAATGCCCATCAAATGGTGAGGACACAAACAAAAGGTTCTGTATCGTTGTGATGGAATACTACTCGGCAATAAAAAAGGAAAAAACTGCTGATACATGCATCAACGTGGATGAACCTCAAAAAGCATTATATTATATGACAGAAGCCAGACACCAAAGACTATATCTCACTTACTATAAAAATTATAGAAAATGCAAAGCTATAGAGGCAGAAAGTAGATCAGTAGTTATCCAGGGCAGAAGGTAAGAGAAGGAAATGACTGCAAACAGATAAAACACAACTTTGGGGTGATGGAAGTTTTAGGGGTGATAAAACTGGATTGTGGGGACTTCCCTGGTGGTCCGGTGGCTAAGAATCCACCTTCCAGTGCAGGGGACACATGTTCAATCCCTGGTTAGGGAACTAAGATCCCACATTCCACAGAGCAAACAAGCGCATGCACCACAACTAGAGAAGACCACATTCCACATCAAAGACCCAGCACAGCCAAAATTAAAAATAAAAGTAAAAAATTGGATTGTGGTTATTGCTACACAACAGTATAAAATTACTAAGAATTAATTAAATCATACATTTAATAATGAGTGAACTGTATGGTAAGTTATACCTCAATAAGGCTGTTAAAAGTGAAAAACGTTACTCTTAGCTCTTGGCAGTACTACTGTAATAGACAAAGACTAGACACAACTGAAATGTACCATCAACAGTGGAGTGAATACATTGGATATACTCACACATAGAGACTATACAGCTGTGGTAATTAAAGATCTACAACTTCATGTAACTGGGATGAATCTCACAAATACAATGTTGAGTGAAAGACACAATATAATACAACTCCATTTATATGATGTTTAAGGACAGGCAGTGGCCACAGGACTGGAAAAGGTCAGTTTTCATTCCAATNAAAGAAACTAAAGAGCCTCTTGATGTGGGTGAAAGAGGAGAGTGAAAATGCTGGCTTAAAACTCAACATTCAAAAAATGAAGATCATAGCATCCAGTTCCCATTACTTCATGGCAAATAGATGGTGAAAAAGTGGAAACAGTGACAGATTTTATTTTCTTGAGCTGCAAAATCACTGTGGATGGTGGCTGCAGCCACAAATTTAAAAGATGTTGCTTCTCATAAAAAAAGCTACAACAAACCCAGACAGATATTAAAAAGCAGAGACATCTCTTTGCTGACAGAGGTCTGTCTAGTCAAAGCTTTGGTTTTTCCAGTAGTCATGTATGGATGTGACTGTTGGACTATAAACAAAGCTGAGCACCAAAGAATTAATGGTTTTGAACTGTGGTGTTGGAGAAGACTCTTGAGAGTCCCTTGGACAGCAAGGAGATCAGTCCATCCTAAAGGAAATCAATCCTGAATATTCACTGGAAGGACTGATGCTGAAGCTGAAACTCCAATACTTTGGCCATCTGATGCGAAGAACTGACTCATTGGAAAAGATCCTGATGCTGGGAAAGACTGAAGATAGGAGGAGAAGGGGACAACAGAGGATGAGATGGCTGGATGGCATCACCAACTCAATGGACATGAGTCTGAGTAGGCTCTGGGAGTTGGTGATGGACAGGGAGGCCTGGTGTGCTGCAGTCCATAAGGGTTGCAAAGAGTCAGACACGACTGAGCGACTGAATTGAACTGAAGTGAACTAACAGGCAAAACAAATATTTGGTGTTAGAAATCAGTATAGTAGTTACTCTTTGGGTAAATAGTGACTGAGAAAGAACATGAGCTTTTGTTTCTGGGCTGTTAATAATATTTCTGTTTAAATTATTTTAATTTTGTTGAAGTATAATTAACATATTATATAATTAAATAATGTTAATAATGCTTCTTGATGTGTGCAAATTATATAGAGACATTCACTTTCTGAAAGTGTGTGCAGCTGTATAATTATGACTATGCACTGTTTAATACATATGTTATACTTCTATACAAAAAATTTACTTAAAAGTGCACTTAACTTGAAGAGATCCCTGGTGATCTCCAAGGTGTATGTGTGTGTGTGTGTCTGTGTGTGTCTGTATGTGTATCTGTGTGTGTGTAGGGATGATAAGAGGTGCTAGCCAGGTAAAGATCTGAGGCAAAGTGTTCCAGGAGAAGGGAACAAGCTGTCCACAGGCCCTACAGGAAGGGGGCATGTTCAAACAGAAAAAAAAAAACTGTGTGGCTGGCATACAGTGAATGAAGAGATGAATGTGAGATCATTCATTTATTCATTCATCAGATATGTAAGAGTTGTGCCAGAAGCTAAGCCAGAGGACAGACAATTGTTCAGAAAGTTTGGCAGAGAAAGAAAGGAGAAAAAATAGCCACTGTAAAGGGGTAGTAAAGTCCTAAGAATATATTTTACACACAAACACATACAGTAGAAGAAAGGAAAGATTGGAGACAGGGGGAAAAGTCCTAGAAAACAAAGAAGCATAGAATAATGGGTACAGGTTGGAGGGATCACTATGGAAAGGATATGGTAAACCTAGAAATAGAGTCACATAGGCAAGAATTTTGAAATGGAGAGAAGCAAAATGAAAGCATTCTCCATCCTTTCATTGAAATTTGAGGAACAGTCACATGTGAGAGTAGTGAACCTGCAGAATTATTTACAAGAATGATGATTTTAAAAACCCTTTTTTCCTTAAAGTGTAATTTAATGAAGAAACTGAGATCCTCTGATGCATCCCTGACACTGTCCCCTGCCATGGTGAGCTGTCCAGAGCCCTCACTGTGCGGCAGCCCAGGGAACTCTAACCTGTGAGGCTCCAGGCGTCCAGCAGGCTCCCCACCAGCTGTCCCGGGGCCTTCCTAGACGGGAAGTTGCACATCAAGCACAGCCACTCACAGAGCCAGCTGCCCGCCAACACGTGATAGGGTCTTGGAACTTCACAGAGGAAATATGCAAAGCAGATTGTCCTCTACATACCCACAGTCAGTTATGATACAGAAATATAACTTTAACATGTCAAGAAAGATGAATGCAAATGCTCTGAGGAACTATTTAACAGTCAAGATGATTTCAGGCTGTACATTTTACCATTTATTGAGTATTAGGGTAAAGGGCCTGAGGTTAACACATTATATTATACTGAGATTATAAAGGACATTATGAACAATGTGAAAAGTTATGCTTTAGGAGTTCCCTGGTAGCCTAGTGGCTAGAATTCTGGGCTTTCACTGCTGAGGCCCAGGTTCAATCTCTGGTCACGGAACTGAGATCCCACAAGTCAAGTGGTGTGACCCTAAAAACAAAGTTATGCTTCATTGCCCATTTTAACTAGGACTGACAGTTTAAGTTTTCTTGGCATAAAAAGATAGCAGTTCATTGGTATTCTGAAACAATGTAGATCATTACTTTGTTTTGAAATCTGAGGAATAGTCACATCTTCTACCAATAACGTGTGATCATGTGTGCTCAGTCGCTTCAGTCCTGTTCAGGTCTTTGCAACCCTATGGACTACAGCCCGCCGGGTTCCTCTGTCCATAGAATTCTCCAGGCAATACTGGAGTGGGTTGCCATGCCCTCTTCCAAGGGATCTTCCCAGCCCAGGGATGAACCTGTGTCTTCTGCATTGCAGGCTGATTCTTTACTGTTGAGCCATTGGGGAAGTCCAATAAAACCAGTGGAAACTGCCAAAAAGTCATCGTGGAGTGGTATAAGCCAGTCAGATCTCAAGAATGACATAAAGATATGCATTTTGCCTGAGACATATACTCAACTCTCTGAATCACTATAATACAAAATGCCACAGAGTTTATATAACAAGTAATATATTTTAATGTGTTAATATCTTATAATTTTATTCTCTTGACTGTTTTATAATGAATTGAGTTCAAGATGACTAGGTGATAACTTTGAAACTCTGTATTTCTTTCAATAAATGAGCATATGAACGTTGCAGAGCTTGGATGTATCCTTGAGATAGACATATCCCTGGCTAAGAACGTTTTCATATATTGTTGTTTGGACTTTGCCCATAAGAAGAGACATAAGTAATAAATGGGCATCAATTATATTCATCGTGGTGCAATGTTCTATCTGCAAAAAGATTTAAAAGTGCTTTCTATCCTCAAAAGATACTCCTTTTATAAGATGACACAGAAAGTAGGAA